GATTTCTAAATTTTCCTTAAACGGTTTTTTTTTTTTTTGGTGTGTTTCATCATCCATGAGACAATCTTGTGGCTGTTCTAAAGAAGCCATTAATGTTTGTTTGTGGTGCTATCTTCTATGTTCCTTGTGGAGTTTGCTTTGGGTTTGAGTATGCCAGTGTTTGAAGAGTCTATAATTCAATTACGTTGTATTTTGTTCATATAAGCATATATACATATATATAAATTAGGTTGTCAACATTATTAGGGAAATACATATGGATAAGCGAGCTGAATCACCTAATGTTATGCAAAAATAGATCGAGTTTTATGCTCTCTTATTCGTCGGGTTCTCTCTGTTTCCGTCGACTTCATTTATTTCTTGTGAAATCTGAATTTCCGCCGATATAAATCGCCTAATATTTTTTCATATATCTGGAAAATTCCGAATCTTCGTCGATCAAACATCCTAAAATAAATTTGGATATTTAATTCCGGGCATTGCAGTTGCGGTCAGCACAGTAAGATGCTGTCCACAAGCTTCGGAGCAAACTGTTGGCTTGATTATAATTATATAAAATTGGGTATGGATATGCATCCAGCTCAGCTTCTCAACTTTGGCCCATAAATAACCGGAGACAAAATATTATCCACTCGTAATCATTATTATATTTTATCCACTAGTAATTATATATAGATTAAACACAATTAACTTTGGATCATTAGACCACAAAATAATCCTCCACACTCTGCCTCTGATACGTCCTAACCTCAAAGATTCTACCATATCATCATATCAGTGAATAGAAAAACAAGAATCTACCAATCGCAATTATAGAGTATCAGATATACAGTTTAATTTGTATTAAATTCGATTTTATGGATTAACTTATTACACCTATTTATTTAATAAGTACAATTGGTTAGCTTGGACTAACCCACCTATCCCAAACCGTTTTTGTAACCTATACCTATTTATAATTTATAAAATGGATTTTTGAATTTTAATGTGCCATGGATGAAAAAAATTAGTGTACGAAATAAAAATGTATTTTGATTTTTAATAGAAAAAGGAAACAAAGGGTGTTTATTTTCGTTGAAATAATATCGGACATTATATAATCTTCCGGTGACCTTTTTCTCTCCACTCCTTAAATTTTTGGGAAATTCCCAAAAAAATCATCCAATTATGAGATAACTATCACATTCATCACGGACTTTTAAAATTTTCAAATTCATACTGGATTTGAAATTTTTTTCTAAAAAATCATTCGAAATTTAAATTTTAATAAAATCCTTATCGGAACAGAATTAATTTTGCCACATAGGCAGAAAGCGCTTACATGGCGCCTACGTGTTCGCCACGTAGGATACATGTGGCATTAATAATAAAAATTAAAACAAAATTGGAAAAAATATAAAAATATTATAAAAAATGTGACAAAATTACAAAAAAATGTAAAAATTGTAAAAAATATAAAATTGTAAAACATTTTCAAAAAATGTAAAATTATAAAAATTGTAAAAAAATTGCAAAAAATTATAAAAATTGCAAAAAATTGTAAAAAAAAATGTAAAATTGTAAAAAATGTAAAACATTTTCAAAAAATGTAAAAAATTGTAAAACAAATTGTAAAAAATTATAAATTTTTAATTTGTTTTTAAAAAAAAGGGAAATTTCCAAAAACAAATCATCCAATTACGAGATAACTTTTAATTGGATGATTGGATGATTTATTTTTGGAAATCGTAATTGGATGATTTGTTTTTGGAAATTTCCTTTTTTTAAAAAACAAATTAAAAATTTATAATTTTTTACAATTTGTTTTACAATTTTTTACATTTTTTGAAAATGTTTTACATTTTTAACAATTTTACATTTTTTTTTACAATTTTTTACAATTTTTATAATTTTTTTCAATTTTTTTACAATTTTTTTACAATTTTTATAATTTTACATTTTTTGAAAATGTTTTACAATTTTATATTTTTTACAATTTTTATATTTTTTTGTAATTTTATCCTACGTGGCGAACACACGTAATATAAAAATGTATTTTGATTTTTAATAGAAAAAGGAAACAAAGGGTGTTTATTTTCGTTGAAATAATATCGGACATTATATAATCTTCCGGTCCGCTCCTTAAATTTTTCGTGGAAACTTAGGATTTTGTTTGTTTTCCAGAGAGAAAGGCATTAAAGATCCCATTTTTCTCGAAAGGGTCGGTCAGATCTTTTTCGGTGTCGCCAATTGTCATCTTCTCTGTCGGCTAAACCCTTACTTGGTACTTTGTTTCTTTTTCCGGTGCGTTTTGTCCAAGGGAAGCAGGAGAAGATGAAGAGAGACAGAGATGGCAAGAAGACGCTCGTGAAGCCATTGTTCCCTAGGGTTCATCTTCGGGACACAGAGAAAGGATCTTACAGAGCTCCTCCCAGGAACAAGATGGCTCTGTACGAACGATTCACCATCTCTCCTCCTAAATCGAATCATCAGGGTTTCCACTCGGTATCCTTTTCTTCCCTCCAATTTACGTTTCCTTCCGTTCGATTGTTAGGTTCTGTCTGGATATCGCGGTTTTTAGGGTTTTAATCCACTGATGGTCCTGTCTGATCATCAGGGTTTTTTCGAATTTGTAGCGAATGAACCTACTTTAATCGGTGGGAAGATGACATAATTTTGGCTGTTGTTAGTGATGTTACTGTTATCAGAAACTGGGTAAGTTTTTGGTTCTTATACTGTTTTGATTTTGATCGACATGTTGTTTTTAGGACAGGGAAGTGAATTTTCTGGATCACACTTGTGTTGCAGGGCTATGAAACTGAATCGGGTTTGAACTTCTCAGTTCAGCAATTTCCCTCTGTGATATCAGTTCCTGTCTCACGGGAACACCATGTCCATCGGTCTGATGCTATGAGCGTGATTTCTCCTGCTTCGAGACGGGTTTCGATGGAACCGAGGTTCAACCATTGTCAAAGCGATGCTGAAAACGTTTTGTATTGCGGAGATGGCGAAACGGGTAATGCAGCTGAGATCTCGAGTAGCTTGGATGATGGAATTCTTCCCGAGAAGAGAAGCGGAGAACCGATTGTAGTCGATGACAATGTTGATGACAGCTACACCTATACTGGTGTTTCAGATGTTTCTCTAGTAGATTCTGGATTGGGACGGGAAATACCTCTGGACGATGTCGTGGGCTCGATTGGTCAGAAACGTTTCTGGAGAGCGAAACATGCGATTTCCAAGTAGGCCTTTTGATCTTTCTGATGCGTAAACCCGTTAACTTCCATGAACTTCTGCATAAACTTCTGTCTGATAGCTAAATCTTCGGAACATAGTACAATCATATGCGTAAAGTTAGCGGATTTGTTTTATGCTGTAAACGTAATCTAAGTGATTATGACTAACTTGTGAAATGAAACGCTTGTTTTCGGTTTCTGCAGGCAACAGAGATTGTTTGCAAAACAAGTCTTTGAGTTGCACCGTTTGGTTAAGGTAAATATATAACCGCTACATCGATCTTCTCCATTCGTTTGTTCTTGTTTTTCGTGGTTTGGGTTTCGGGTTCAGATTCGATCTTCTTTCTTTAACAGGTCCAGAGACTTATCGCCCACTCGCCTCATCTCGTGTTTGATGATGCCGCCATTAAAGTAAAACCTTCTCAAAAGAAGGAGAAGCTTCCAAAACCTTGCTCTGTAGTAAAACCATGGGACAACGATGATGAGCGTGACCCGGAAGGTTCTGCTGAAAACACTCCCGGGAGATTCCCGTCCCTACCTCAGATGAAAGCCCATAATCTTCCTTCGAATCAGCTTTACCTCCGGGGTATACCAATGGCAGCTAATCTCGGAAGAAGTATCCAGCAATCATCTGGGCACCACTGGTTGATCCCTGTGATGTCGCCTTCCGAAGGACTCATCTACAAGCCATGCCCTGCACCATCGAGCTTTGGAGGATGGGGGCGTTTCTCTAATTTCGCATTCCCTCCTTTTGGGTTCCCCCCTCCTCCTCCTCTGTTGTGTCAGCAAAAGGGAGCATTCTCTCTACCGGTCGCTCACCCGATGGTCAACCACTTTCCTCCCTACAACATGCCAGTTATTTACCCAACATCATTCCCAGGGATGCATATGGACCAGAGAACTCACTCTAACCGAAGCGGTTCGACCGTTCGAGACCAGGACTCGTGTAATATGCTTGGGCCGGTTAATGGGACCACACCACCACAGGTCACAAGAGACAATGTCCGGTTAGAGCCAAGGCAACAGGTCGAGGATGCATCTCGTAGGCCATCAAACCTTGGGGATTCAGATGAAACGAACATGGTGCAGCCAGGGCGAGTGGTTCGGGCTGTGCCATGTAATCCCAGACTGGCACCGGAATCTGCCGCCCGGATTTTCCGTTCCATTCAGGAAGAGAGAACTCGGGCTTGACTCGGTTTTTTGGAATCGTTTAAACAATTTGGGAATGTTTTGTCGGTTTTGTGATTTAGGGTTTATCATCTTTTTACCTGTAAAATATCTTGCGTTTCTTCTCCCTGTAAATTTTCATCCGGGTTTGTCATGGATGATGGTGTATGTATACATCTACGGATATGAACCTATATGCACGGATTTGAATCTTTCATCTGCGTTGGCATACAGAGCCAGATGCAAGTTTGAACAAGATCTCAATACTTCTGTTTGAAACAGCAAAGTTTGAAGCCAAATGATCACATGTCAAATGGTGGCACAATAGTAATAATGATCTTATATAATTGATGATCGATTCAGAAACCGTAAGTTCAAGATCAATACACATAATCCATGTGGTTCAATGATGAACTTTCAAAATCTTACACAAGACCGATGAGTTGTATATTAACATATTACCTGAATCTTGTGTTTTTTCAACAAAGGATGATCCAAAGCAGGTTGTCTGTAAATGTCTACGCAGTCTATGATGTCTCCGTCTTCACTCTACAAAACCAAAAGAACAGTCTTCAGAATCTTAGAGCGATGAAGAAACCATCTCCAAGAACGCGTAGAGATCGAAGAAATACACGAGAAATATCCAGAGATTCGCAGTAAAATTTACCTCGATAGTCTTTTCCGAAGGCTTGTTCAAGCTTCTCAACATGGTATCGATCTCCGAAGAACATTCCACATGGATTATTCCGCTGCACAAAACCACAAACGCTAAAACCATATTCATTGCGGTTTTAATCTGTTGTATTTTCTTTCTTTCTTTTTCTTGGTGAAAAACCAAACGAGGGTGATGACCTTTTTATATCTTGATCCCTTATTGTGTGTGTCTATTAAAAACTTGGAGAGTGAAGGAAAAAAAATGATATCTAGCAGATTTGATTAAAAGAATCCGTAAATATTTATTAGAAAAAGAAAATATGGGATCTTATACTATATAGAAATACAAGAAGAAATCTGCAGATTTGATTAAAATTTAAAGGATTTGCCATCTTCTCGTTGCTGGATTACATTCATGTTGACCAACACATACATTGGATTTAAAGATGATGTGCAAAAGGTTATGCTAAAAACACTTGAGGGAGAGATTCGCTATTTCTTGTGCGTTTCTTGGATTATTTTTCAATAATCATCCATGCCAGATACCAGTAAACCTCGTCTGAAATCTTCATGGATGCGAGTGTATGTATACATTTATACGGTATGAAGTTGTTTGCGTATGCTAATATATGTTATTTATTCTCTCTCAAAAACTCAGCTCTCATGTATTTGTAACGTAAGGGCTCCAAATTGACTAATTTTATGAGAAGTAATATCGGTTTTTTGCAGAACTTTTTTGGTTAGGTTATTATGATGATTGATCTTGACCCCTTGCTGTCCATTAGGGTTTTGAAAAAAATGAACGAACGAGCATATATGCGGTCGGTATATTCTGCACCATCATATATAGATGTACCAATGGTCATGGTCATATGTGCATTTCGGGTTTCTTGAGCAACAAGTCATTGTGTCGGATTCATATACGTTTTCTTCTTTCTTTTTGGTATAAGTTTCAACCTTTCCTTCGAAATTTTGGTAACGAAACCCTATTTTAATATAGATATATGGGAGCTCCAGCTTTGGATTATTTTCTCAAACAAACTTACTTACTTGCGGAACAAGTAAACCGTCAACATCAAAACCAGAAACCTGAAACCCTCTTCAAGGGCAACGTGGGTTCTGTCCAGATCCTCCGAAGTAGAAGTAAAATCCGGCGTCCGGGTCTTCCCGGTATAGCTTTGTAGAATAACAATCATATTCGTCTGCAAACTCGGTAAGATCTTCGGGATACTTCATGAAAAGATGGGTAGTGTTCTGAACCCGGAAGTTGGTGTGGAACGCAGCCGTGTCCCAGAACCTTGACCAGTCGGCTCCACTGCCCATCTGGGTCTTCGTGTGAGGAGTCTTCCTCACGTTAGGACTGTAAACTTGGCCGCCCCATTGAACCAGAGTCGCGCTATGGGTCAAGTAGGTGAAGAGGGATCCGGGCCAGTACCCTACTCTTTCATCTCCAACTTTAAGCCACCAATTATTCCCGATTGAATCCTTGATGAAAGAAAATGTGATAAATCCAGTTAATATTATGGTTAAGAGAGGACTAAACCGGGAAAACTGAATCATTATCGAAAAGAAAGAGCGGTGAACCGAGAAGTGTAAGAACCTTTCCTAGACGAACAGTAATTTGGAACTGCTTATCCCCAACGGAGACGTCTTTAATGGGAGCACCTAGGGCAAACGCCTTACCGATTTGCACAAAACCGGAGCATAAGAGGTTGAAGCAACCTGTTGTTTTGTATCCATCGCTCTGGAACCAAAACCAAATAGAGATTTATCGAAAGAAACCGGTTTAAGATTGTTCACTACTAAACCGGACCAAAACAATGTGGAAGTATATGGTGTTATGAAGTTGCAAACTATTCATCATCTTGCTATAATGATAATACTTACAGTCCAATAGCCGAACAACCGGGTGCGTGAATCTCTAAATAAGTCCGGATTCACCTGGGACAAATAGAGATGGTGATGATAGATATCGGATTAACTTGAGGCACAAGTTAGGGTTTTTTCTTAATGATAGATAAACTTTTACCGCCCAACCAGCTTCTACACTGTCAAAATCATCTCCAGGTCCATTCTGCATCCAGATTTGGCTGGTGGTGAAGTCGCTCGCTTCAACGCTCGGGTTCCAAACGCTCATATCTGATTTAGAAGCGATGTAATTGCTCCCGACTGTGACAACAAACGCCTCCTAAATCATCAGCAAAAGAAGAAGTGTTTTCGGTTATACCACATACAAAGTGTTTTTTCCTTGTTAGGTTAAGCTAATGATGATACAGACTCACATACCGATCTGTCCTTTGGACGTGGGGTCCGTGTTCCGTCGGCTAATAATCTGAAATTGTCTGGGTTTTTGCTTGCCATGTATGGAGCTTTTCTGCCGAACCAGGAAGCATTAGATGCTCTTGTTATGTCCTCTCTTGTAACTCTTAGAATCGGGACTGTCCCTTCAGGACAGTCACCAGCTTCTCTCCATGTCTGGGACACCGTCATTTTAGATGAACTCGGCTTCCGATTCTCCGGTTCCTCATCTGAAGCCAGCATCACACTCGGTTTCATCTGCGTTTGTGTAAACTATAGATAAATCTTGATGATTGATTCAAAAACTGTAAATCCAACATCTGTCGAAATTTTTCTAGAAAAAGGGAGGTGACCCACGAGTGGTATATTAACCTTTTACCTGAATCTTGTGGTTTTTCAACAAAGGATGGTCGAAAGCAGGTTGTTTGTAAATATCCACACAGTCTATGATGTCTCCATCCTCACTCTATACAGCCAAAGAACAGATTCTCAGAATCTTAGATCGATGAAAGAATCTCCGATCAAGAACGCGTAAAGATTGAAGAAAATGTTCAAGAAAGAATGGTTACATAGATAGTCTTCACGGCAGGTTTGTTCAGTCTCTTCAACATTGCATCGATCTCCACAGAACCTTCCACATGGATCCCATTGCTCAAGACACTCAAAATCACAAACCCTAGAAATATTTTCATTGCCCTTTTTCTCGTTTTTTTTTTTTTTTTTTTTTGTGCAATGAAAACCAGATTGAGGGTGATGCCCTTTTAATATTGATCCCTTCTGTCTGTCTAACAAATCTTGAAAATGAGAAACATATACTAGCATATTATAGTGTGAGAGAGCTTCAAATGGTAACGAAATCCAGTATAGATTTATGGGGGAAAAAATCATTCTGTAATAAATATATGTTTAAAGATTTAAAATAAGTAAAAGAATAAGTTACATATACATATATACACAAAATAATGTCTCAAATACATGAATATATATACTTTTGATATACAATGAATTATCACGATCTTAATTTAAACCTACCAATAATGGTCATACACAAAAAAAAATCTGTTTAAAAAAACTAATTAAAGCCCTTATGATTATTTTCTAAAAAAAGATTACCTTCTCAGGACACACTCAAGACCTCATAAGACGACATTTTTTTGTCTTATCGTTATCTTCTCAACCAGAATGGTCTTCAGTCAAACCTGTCGGGCCAGATAGAGGCTTCCGAAGCCGCTGGCTGAAAGAAAAGGGTTCAAGGCTCAGCGTGTACGGGTCGGAGCACGGATGTGGACGTGGATACGGGACAAGGTTCATGCAGGTGATGCGGTCGAGCGTGAAACGAGGACTAGACGAGAGACATTGGACCAGACAGAGGGTTTCATGGGCAATTTCGTAAAACCTGATTATTCAGACTATTCAACACCATATTGATTTTTGCAGAACTTTTTTGTGTTAGATTTTTATGACGCTTGATCTTGATCCCTTACCATCATAACAACTGTATAAGTCCATTTAGGTTTCTTGAGTGGCATATATATTCAGATACCTTTTCTCCTTTCCTTTTGGTATAAGTTTCAACTTTTTCCTCGAATTCAAATTTCCATAACCAAACCGGAAAAAAATTGATGGGCATTTAGCTAAAAAAAACTTTATTTTCGCAATATAGATATAGGCGACTTGCTTCATTGTGGAACAAACACATTGTCAGCATCAAATACAGAACCTTGAAACCTTCTTCTAAGGGCAACGAGGGTTCTGTCCAGGTCCTCCGAAATAGAAGAATGGTTCGGCCATATAGTTATCCCTGTATAGCTTTGTAGAATAACAATCATATTCGTCCGCAAACTCGGAGAGATTTTCGGGATACTTGATCGCCAAGGAATAGTCCTTAATCCGGATATTGGTGTGGTACGCAGAATTGGTCTTTAGACCTGATGCCCAGTAGCCACTGCCCATCTGGGTCTTTGTGTGTGGACTCTTCTTCACGTTACGGCTGTAAACGCCGCCGCCCCATTTGACCAAAATCGCGCTATGGCCAAGGTACGAGAAGAGGGATCCGGGCCAATACCCTACCACTTCATCGCCCAAGTGAAGCGACCAATCCCCGTTGTTTGCATCCTGCGTGGAATTGATGAAAGAAAATGTGACGAATCCGGTTTTACAAGAACTAAGCCAGAAGAAAGTGAATCTATCTAAAAGAAAGAAGGGTGAACCGAGAAATGTAAATACCTTGAACAAGCCGATAGTGATATCGTACTGGTTATCCCCACTGGAGATGGGTTCAACCGGTGCACCTAAGGCTATCTTAGCGCTGGTTTGCACAAAACCGGAACATAAGAGGTTGAAGCAACCTGTTGTTTTGTATCCATCTTTCTGGAATCAAAAGGAAGAACCGATCAATGAGATTTTTAGAACGAATGAAGTCGGATTTTAGGTCATTCATTTACTAACCAAACGAGGATATGAAGCGGATAATATGTACTTACAGTCCAATACGCGAAAAGCCGCGTTCGTGAATCTCCAAATATGCCTTGATTCACCTGGGACAAGAAGAAGAGATGAAGACACATCTTAGCCGGATTAACTTGAGACATGAGTTAGGGTTTTTCTGAATGATGTTAAAGAGGTGAAAGTTAAAAGCTATACCACCCAACCAGCTTCTACACTTTCAAATGCATCTCCAGGTCCATTTTGCATCCAGATTTGGCCCGAGCTGAAGTCACCCGATTCAATCTTCGGGTTCCATACGTTTATATCTGACTGAGAACCGATATAATTGTATCCAACTGCGGTAAGAAACGCCTCCTAGAGACGAAGAGATGTGTTTTCGGTTATTATTTAGAAAGTTGGTTCTCTATTAGGTTAAGTTAATTTTGATACAGGCTCACATACCGATCTTTCCTGTGAACTTGAGCTCTTAAATGCATCACCTAGTAAACTGAAATTGGTTGGATTTCTATGTGCAATATCGAGAAGACGATTATAGTATGGAGCTTTTCTGCCAAATTGAGAAGCATTAGATGCACTTGTTATTTCTTCTAATCTCACTCTTCGAACCGGGATTGTCCCTTCAGGACATTCACCAGCTTTCCTCCAAGTCTGGGGCATAATCGTTTTGGAAGAATTCAGTTTTATGCTCCCTGGTTGATCTGAGTTTAGCTTCGCACTCGATTTCTTCTGCAGTTATGTAGAAACAAATGAATGTGTGCAATGATCATACATGCCAAATGATGGAAGAATCTTAAAGGAGATTATCCGAGGTTCAATAATGATTCACTTGATGATCAATTCACAAGATCGAAAAAGTTCATCATCCATTCGTTTGACTACGATGATCTTTCACAAATCTTGGTATATGTTAATATTTTTTTTAACCTGAATCTTGTGGTTTTTCAAGGCAGGATGATCGAAAGCAAGCTGTTTGTAAATATCGACACAGTCTATGATGTCTCCATCTTCACTCTACAGAAAACAACGACAAAATATTTCAGAAGAATCTCAGACGAGGAATCTCTCATTCAATGATCGGTAAAATGAATGAAAATTATTCAAGAAAACCTTGATAGTCTTCACTGCAGGTTTGTTCAGTCTCTTCAACATTACATCGATCTCTGCGGAACCTTCCACATGGATCCCATTGCTCAAGACACTCAAAATCACAAACCCTAGAAATATTTTCATTGCTGTTTTTCTCTTTTCTTTTCTTTTTGGTGAAAACTAGATGGAGGATGATGTCCTTTTTATATTGATCGCTTGTGTTCTGTTTTGTCTAAAAAATCTTGAAAATGAGAAACGTAGATTCTATTGGATTTGTGTGCGAGAGCTTCAAATCGTTAGGACATCCAAATTATATTTATGGAAGAAAAAAAAAATCACGTGTGATCTTGTAATACAATATATGTTTAAAATTTTGAAATAAATAGAAGAAAATAAAAGAAAAAGTTACTACATATACACAAAAAAATGTCTTGAAAAAAAAAAGTTATTTCTTTCCTACTGTACAAATGTGAATACGAAAATATACTTTCGATATACATAAAGTATCGCAATTTTAATTTAACCTACCAATAATGGTCGCACAAAAAAAAAAATTGTTTAAGAAAGATCTAACTAAGGGCCTTTATGATTATTTTCTAAAAAAGGATTAGATTCTCACGACACGCTCAAGATCTCACAAGACGATCTTTTTGTCTTGTCGTTTTCTTCTCAACGAGAATGGTCTCCAGGCAAACCCGCCGGGCCAGATGGAGGCTTTCGAAGCCGCTGGCTGAAAGAAAAGGTTCAAGGTGTACGGGGCGGTCCGCACTCCGCAGATATGTTGACGTGGATACGGGACAAGGTTCATGCAGGCGATGCGGCCGCACATGAGGCGAGGACTAGACGAGAGACACCGGACCAGACAGAGGGTTTCATGAGCAATTCTGTAAAACGAGTTAACTCGACCCGTTTTTCATCGATTCGCGAAGTAAATAAATAATAATAAATTAAAAAAATTATATATTTTTTTGTTTGTAGATTCGCCGAGTTGGCTCGGATGAATCCGTTTTGAAAACGAGTCAAAAAAATCTTTATTCGGTCCGCATATTACGTTTAGGGTTTTCTACTCCGTAGGCATGCACTGCATGCGTTGGCTTTCGTTATTCTTCAAATTCGATCCGAAACTTTTATTGATGTCTCAAATATTTTTTATTCATAGGCAACTAAAAGATACAAACAAAAATAGTCCTACCAAAAAACAATATTACTATTTTTTAATTAATAAAATAGATAACTTCTCGTAGATATTAACTATTGGTTCAGACTTTTTTTTTTTTGTAATGGTAATTCATTTAATAAAAAACAACTTTACAAAAGTTAATATTGTCATCTACAACTCATACAATTAGGTAGAAATGCATTAAGGGTATCTCATCCTTATGGATCAAAGTTACGAAACTAAATCGTTAGCAGACTTTCATCACCGAGAATGAAGTCATTTTCCTGTCGAAGAGAGGAGAGTTTGCGCCTCACAGTGCGCAGAACATCACGTCGAAGAGTGGCGGCCGGTTTGCTTTCCGCTCCATGGATCCGAGCGTTCCTTTGACCCCATATCAAGTAGACGGTGGCATGGAACAGTAATAAGATCATATACCTGAGGATACGACAGTGCGAATATTATTGTAGGACCTGGAGATGCTCATCAAATGAGGTACAAGTCTGAAAACGAGGCTCCACAGAGACTATAGACTCCAACCAGACCAAGGAAGAGTAGGCACATCGGAAAAATAGGTGGTCCCTTGATTCTGTTCCAGTTCTACATAGGCGGCAAGTGATATTGATGTTTAAACCCCACGATACCATTCTATCCATTGTCGGTAACCTGTTGATTGGTTCAGACTTTTCTCCTTCTGCATTTAATATTTAAGTAAAATATTTTTATTTAGATATTATCTAAACAACGTCTTTTAAATAAAATAACTACAATGCTCGCCATGGATACTCACCTATTACACCTTTTAACTTCTTACGTATGTTTTCATTCAATCAATTATGGTAACGAAATCATAATCGCACAATATCCATCTTCGATTAGTCATATACAAACCATGTATAGCTAACCAATTCGTATCATATGACATTTAATTCCTCTTCCATAATATATGAATATCATAAGAGAATTAATCAAATCAACCGTTTTAAAATAAAATTATCTAATAACAAAGAAATAGAACAAATTTTTTTTGTCCTTTAACAGCTATTTTTTATATAAAAAAAACAAGAAATAAAATCCAAAAACACAACAAAATATATGCGAATTTTAATCTGTTACTCACCCGAAAAAATGTGATGGGCATTTAGTTAAGAAAACTTTATTTTCGCATACGTATGCGACTTCATACCTTGCGGAACATAGAAAAAAGGCAGGGCCTTGAAACCTCGCTTTAAGGACAACCTGGGTTCTTTCCAGGTCCTCCGAAGTAGAAGAAGGGTTCGGCCTTGTAGTTATCCCTGTATAGCTTTGTAGAATAACAGTTGTATTCGTCCGCATACTCGGCGAGATTATCGGGATACTTGATCTGCAAGGAATAGTCCTGAATCCGGATATTGGTGTGGAATGCAGAATTGGTCCACAGGCCTGACGCCCAGTAGCCACTTCCCATCTGGGTCGTCGTGTGTGGACTCTTCCTCACGTTACTGCTGTAAACTCCGCCGCCCCATTTGACCACGATCGCGCTGTGGCCAAGGTACGAGAAGAGGGATCCGGGCCAGTACCCTACTATTTCATCGCCGAAGTGAAGCCACCAATTCCCAGAATTCGGATCCTGCGTGGAATGAAAGAAAATGGGATGAATCCTAAGAACTAAACCATAAGAAAGTGAATCAGAGTGAACCGAAATATGTAAGTACGTACCTTGAACAAGCTGATAGCGATGTCGTATTGGTTATCCCCACTAGAGATGGGTTCGATTGGTGCACCTAAAGCTATCTTTTTGCTGGTATGCACAAAACCGGCGCATAAGATGTTGAAGCAACCTGTTGATTTGTATCCATCTTTCTGGAATCAAAAAGGGAGAACTCATCAATGAGATTTTCGGAACGAATGAAGTCGGGGTTTAGATCATTCACTTACTAACCAAATGAGGGCATGAAGCGGATCATATATACTTACAGTCCAATAGGCGAAAAACCGCGTTCGTGAATCTCCAAATACGCCTCGATTCACCTGGGACAGGAAGAAGAGATGAAGACAGCTCTGTGTCGGATTAACTTGTGGCACAAGTTAGGGGTTTTTAAATGATGAGGTTAAGCAGGTGAAAGTGAAAAACTTTACCACCCAACCAGCTTCTACACTTTCAAATGCATCTCCAGGTCCGTTTTGCATCCAGATTTGGCCCGAGCTGAAGTCACCCGATTCAACCTTCGGGTTCCATACATTTATATGTGATTGAGAACCGATATAATTATACCCAACTGCGAGAAGAAATGCCTCCTAGAGACAAAGAGATGCGTTTTCAGTTATTACTTAGGAAGTTGTTTTCCTATAAGGTTAAACTAATGATGATAGAGACTAACATACCGATTTTTCCTGTAAATTTGAGCTCTTAAATGCGTCACCTAATAAACTTTTTTGGCGAGCAATATCGAGATGACGATTATAGTATGGAGCTTTTCTGCCAAATTGGGAAACATTAGATGCACTTGTTATTTCTTCTAATCTCACTCTCCGGATCGGGACTGTCCCTTCAGGACATTTACCAGCTTTCCTCCAAATCTGGGGTATAATCGTTTTTGAAGAATTCGGTTTCAGACTCCCTGGTTGGTCTGAGTTTAGCTTCACACTCGGTTTCTCCTGCATTTAATTATGTAGAGCCAGATGAATGTTTACAATGATCATATATATGTCAAAAGATGGACGAATCCTAAAGGAGACTAGCCAAGGTTCAATGATTCACTTGATGATCAATTCAGAAAACCGAAACAGTTCATCATCCATCCGTTTAGCTATGATGATCTTTCACGAATCTCGGTACATGTTAATCTTCTTTTTACCTGAATTGTGTGGTTTTTCAAGGCGGGATGGTCGAAAGCAAGTTGCTTGTAAATGTCTACACAGTCTATGATGTCTCCATCTTCACTCTACAATATCAAAGAACACATTTTCAGAATCTTAGATCGATGAAAGAATCCATCATCTCCAAAGAATCTCCGATCAAGAACGCGTAAAGATTGAAGAAAATGTTCAAGAAACAATTGGTATAGTTACATAGATAGTCTTCACTGCAGGTTTGTTCAGTCTCTTCAACATTACATCGATCTCTGCGGAACCTTCCACATGGATCCCATTGCTCAAGACACTCCAAATCACAAACCCTAGAAATATTTTCATTGCTGTTTTTTTTTTTTTTTTGGTGAAAACCAGATTGAGGCCATGATGCCCTTTTAATATATTGATCTCTTGATCCCTTCTGTTTATCTCAAAAGGCTTGGAATGGGAAAAAACAAAACCTAGCATATTTGTGTGTCAGAGCTGTCAATTGGTAATTATTCCGAGATCTTGTAACTGTCCTAAAGAGACCACATTTTATACCATTTTTTTTGTAGAATAACAAAATTATATACAGAAGAATCTCAAATAAATACATGTATCTATTAATTTCTTATCAATAAATACATGAACTTGTGACCTTTTACGTTAATATGTTATTTTTTGGATTTTTTTTTTCCTTTTTTCCGATTTCTACCCGCATAACTTCGTTATATCTCTAGCATTTTCCAACTAAAATGAAAATTCCAAATAAATATGAATTTCTATTTATTTGTATGCACATATATACAAATAAATATATACATAAATATAAAAAATACATATACATTTTGGTGTAAAAAATAGATATACATATATATACACTTACATGTGTATAATTATGCATATATATATATATATATGTATATATGTGTATATAAATATTGGAAAAAAATTAGTTCTTATATTTGTATATGTATTTATTTTTTGTTTTTTTAGTTTTTCTTAATATAGGAGATGATCATTATTTACGTTGATTTTCCGGATTTTTAATACTGATGCAAAATTAATCTCTAGAATTTTATTTATATTTGATATTAATGTATAATCAATCCGCTGGAATGGGTTTTAGATGGGCCCTGGAATAGTTTGGGCCCAACAAATAGCTTACAGAGACTCTTAACCATTAAGAGGATTCTAGGGATGGCGCGGGTGACCTGAGAACCTTCTGATCCGTTCAGAGTCTTCACGCTGCGAAGCGAGTCTTCGGAGTCGTTTCTACGTTTTCTGCAGAAGATCCTGGAATTAACTGCGACAGCGGTCTATGCAGAAAGCCGTTTCCCGACGTCTCCTCTCGCTTTTCTGATTCGTCTCTCTCTCTCTCCACGTTTTGACACCGAGTCGTCAACTCCCGAAAAGAGTTGTCTCTTGTGATCTTCCCAGTTCCCACGATCAAGTGTCTTCTTTTCCCGTAAGTCTCCACGCTGATTCTCTTTCTGCTGTCAAGCCCAGATAAAATTCCGGCGTTTCTCTCTTGGGTTTTCGGTTTCGCTGGCACCATCCTAAGAACTAAACCATAAGAAAGTGAATCAGAGTGAACCGAAATATGTAAGTACGTACCTTGAACAAGCTGATAGCGATGTCGTATTGGTTATCCCCACTAGAGATGGGTTCGATTGGTGCACCTAAAGCTATCTTTTTGCTGGTATGCACAAAACCGGCGCATAAGATGTTGAAGCAACCTGTTGATTTGTATCCATCTTTCTGGAATCAAAAAGGGAGAACTCATCAATGAGATTTTCGGAACGAATGAAGTCGGGGTTTAGATCATTCACTTACTAACCAAATGAGGGCATGAAGCGGATCATATATACTTACAGTCCAATAGGCGAAAAACCGCGTTCGTGAATCTCCAAATACGCCTCGATTCACCTGGGACAGGAAGAAGAGATGAAGACAGCTCTGTGTCGGATTAACTTGTGGCACAAGTTAGGGGTTTTTAAATGATGAGGTTAAGCAGGTGAAAGTGAAAAACTTTACCACCCAACCAGCTTCTACACTTTCAAATGCATCTCCAGGTCCGTTTTGCATCCAGATTTGGCCCGAGCTGAAGTCACCCGATTCAACCTTCGGGTTCCATACATTTATATGTGATTGAGAACCGATATAATTATACCCAACTGCGAGAAGAAATGCCTCCTAGAGACAAAGAGATGCGTTTTCAGTTATTACTTAGGAAGTTGTTTTCCTATAAGGTTAAACTAATGATGATAGAGACTAACATACCGATTTTTCCTGTAAATTTGAGCTCTTAAATGCGTCACCTAATAAACTTTTTTGGCGAGCAATATCGAGATGACGATTATAGTATGGAGCTTTTCTGCCAAATTGGGAAACATTAGATGCACTTGTTATTTCTTCTAATCTCACTCTCCGGATCGGGACTGTCCCTTCAGGACATTTACCAGCTTTCCTCCAAATCTGGGGTATAATCGTTTTTGAAGAATTCGGTTTCAGACTCCCTGGTTGGTCTGAGTTTAGCTTCACACTCGGTTTCTCCTGCATTTAATTATGTAGAGCCAGATGAATGTTTACAATGATCATATATATGTCAAAAGATGGACGAATCCTAAAGGAGACTAGCCAAGGTTCAATGATTCACTTGATGATCAATTCAGAAAACCGAAACAGTTCATCATCCATCCGTTTAGCTATGATGATCTTTCACGAATCTCGGTACATGTTAATCTTCTTTTTACCTGAATTGTGTGGTTTTTCAAGGCGGGATGGTCGAAAGCAAGTTGCTTGTAAATGTCTACACAGTCTATGATGTCTCCATCTTCACTCTACAATATCAAAGAACACATTTTCAGAATCTTAGATCGATGAAAGAATCCATCATCTCCAAAGAATCTCCGATCAAGAACGCGTAAAGATTGAAGAAAATGTTCAAGAAACAATTGGTATAGTTACATAGATAGTCTTCACTGCAGGTTTGTTCAGTCTCTTCAACATTACATCGATCTCTGCGGAACCTTCCACATGGATCCCATTGCTCAAGACACTCCAAATCACAAACCCTAGAAATATTTTCATTGCTGTTTTTTTTTTTTTTTTGGTGAAAACCAGATTGAGGCCATGATGCCCTTTTAATATATTGATCTCTTGATCCCTTCTGTTTATCTCAAAAGGCTTGGAATGGGAAAAAACAAAACCTAGCATATTTGTGTGTCAGAGCTGTCAATTGGTAATTATTCCGAGATCTTGTAACTGTCCTAAAGAGACCACATTTTATACCATTTTTTTTGTAGAATAACAAAATTATATACAGAAGAATCTCAAATAAATACATGTATCTATTAATTTCTTATCAATAAATACATGAACTTGTGACCTTTTACGTTAATATGTTATTTTTTGGATTTTTTTTTTCCTTTTTTCCGATTTCTACCCGCATAACTTCGTTATATCTCTAGCATTTTCCAACTAAAATGAAAATTCCAAATAAATATGAATTTCTATTTATTTGTATGCACATATATACAAATAAATATATACATAAATATAAAAAATACATATACATTTTGGTGTAAAAAATAGATATACATATATATACACTTACATGTGTATAATTATGCATATATATATATATATATGTATATATGTGTATATAAATATTGGAAAAAAATTAGTTCTTATATTTGTATATGTATTTATTTTTTGTTTTTTTAGTTTTTCTTAATATAGGAGATGATCATTATTTACGTTGATTTTCCGGATTTTTAATACTGATGCAAAATTAATCTCTAGAATTTTATTTATATTTGATATTAATGTATAATCAATCCGCTGGAATGGGTTTTAGATGGGCCCTGGAATAGTTTGGGCCCAACAAATAGCTTACAGAGACTCTTAACCATTAAGAGGATTCTAGGGATGGCGCGGGTGACCTGAGAACCTTCTGATCCGTTCAGAGTCTTCACGCTGCGAAGCGAGTCTTCGGAGTCGTTTCTACGTTTTCTGCAGAAGATCCTGGAATTAACTGCGACAGCGGTCTATGCAGAAAGCCGTTTCCCGACGTCTCCTCTCGCTTTTCTGATTCGTCTCTCTCTCTCTCCACGTTTTGACACCGAGTCGTCAACTCCCGAAAAGAGTTGTCTCTTGTGATCTTCCCAGTTCCCACGATCAAGTGTCTTCTTTTCCCGTAAGTCTCCACGCTGATTCTCTTTCTGCTGTCAAGCCCAGATAAAATTCCGGCGTTTCTCTCTTGGGTTTTCGGTTTCGCTGGCACCCATTTGCTACAGGTTGATGTTGTTGTCAGATCACCGGGAAAGGAATTATCTTGAAGTAGCTCTTGATCTGTGTACTGTTTAAGATCGGTCGGAAAGGTTGGTCGTTGATTGCTCTGAGGTTTGGGGTGCTTTTCCGGGAAACATTCAGGGGGGGTTATATCGAGTCCTATAGTGATTTCGGGCCCTGGATTTTCAATTTTATGGGTTTATATTTGAAAAAGTTGCGGAATTTATTGATTCAGCGGTGTAACTGAAGCATTGGGTTGCTTCAGGGTGTTGGATCCGTTTCTTTATGATCTATGAAGTGATTTTAGCGTCTCAGGATCTGGAATTTACGGCTTAGTGAAGTCTAATGGTGGATTGAGATCGGTCATTTCGTACAGGGAGTTACAGAATCTGATTGAATTCCTTCATGAGAGAGATCTGAGGCTCTGATAGTAGTAGTTGACTTGGATTGCCAGCACCATTGAGGCGTTGAATCTGACAAATTTTTGGTGTAAGGATGCAAACTAGGGTTGTACAGTTGGAGGAAGGTAAAGAAAATGGAGTCACGGGCATTGGCCGAGCCGCACAAAGCAAGGCATTACCTCGAAAATTTCTTGTGCTGTTGGGAGTTTTTCTCATCTTCTGTCTTGCCTTCTTTATCAGTAGTGTATCTACTGTCAAGTACTTTGGAATCCATAGTGTAGTAACCACTGTCACTTCTAGTTTCGTGCCGTGCAACGAGGAACCGAAGGGACTGGAAAAATGGATCAAACCTCCGTCGGATCTGATGCACAAAATGAGCGATGGAGAGCTCCTTTGGCGGGCATCTTTCGTGCCTCGGAGGAAAGAATACCCTTTCAGGAGAGTTCCGAAGATTGCTTTCATGTTCTTGACCAAGGGGCCATTGCCCCTTGCCCCTCTTTGGGAGAGATTTCTCAAGGGCCAAGAAGGGCTTTACTCGGTTTACATCCATTCCCACCCGTCTTTTACCGCCAAGTTTCCGCCTTCTTCCGTTTTCTACCGTAGGCAGATCCCGAGTCAGGTATGGTTCTTCTAATCATTGTTCTTGCCGAAACATGCTTCTGCTCTGTGTTTTCTTCGCGCTGGAACTATTTGGCTCATGTGGTCATATACCTTTCAACATGTTCAGGTTGCCGAATGGGGGAGAATGACGATGTGTGACGCAGAGAGGCGGCTTCTCGCCAATGCACTGCTCGATATCTCCAACGAATGGTTCGTCCTCCTCTCCGAGACATGCATACCTCTCTTCAACTTCACCACTATTTACCGCTACATAAGCAAATCGAAGCAGAGTTTCATCGGCGCCTTCGATGACCATGGTCCCTATGGTCGTGGCCGCTACAATGACAACATGGCCCCCGAAGTGGGCATCACCCAATGGCGAAAAGGGTCTCAATGGTTCGAGATAAACCGAGAGCTGGCAGCCACAATCGTCAAAGACACGGTGTACTACCCGAAATTCAGAGACTTCTGCAGACCCGCGTGCTACGTGGACGAGCATTATTTCCCGACGATGTTGACAATCGAGAAACCGTCCCTCCTGGCTAACCGTAGCGTCACGTGGGTCGACTGGTCGCGAGGCGGAGCGCATCCTGCGACTTTCGGGCGAGCCGACATCAAAGAAGAGTTCTTTAGGAGGATCTATGGAGGTCACAACTGTACCTACAATGGCCGGAACACTTCAATGTGTTATGTCTTTGCAAGGAAGTTTGCTCCGAGTTCTTTGGAGCCTTTACTTCACATTGCTCCAAAGATCTTGGGATTTTGAAGCAAAGTAGTGAGTTGAAACTGTTCCGGGTTTTGTCTGAAACCTGGAACTCTTATAGACATCATGAAGTTTATGTTATGTTACATAGTCTCTGTTTCCTTTTTGTTAGCTTTGAAGAGAGTTAGTTTCGACTTGTATAGATATGATATTGGCATATAACAGTTCTTGATTTTTTTTCTTTTTTTTTTGTAACAATGAATTCGATTTCTTATTACTTTATGTTTTAATTATTTATCTAATATATGTATATACATATATCCCACAAAATAGTTCTTATTGTTCTAATCCGGAAAAATGATTCAATTTTATTTTTTAAATTAAACTATATATTAAAGATCTTGATGATGATAAAAATAATAAAATTAATTTTACTGGAATATCTTGTCCATCACAAGACATATAGAATGACATAATTCATCATCTTTGCAAAGTTCATTTTCTATACGTACAACCTTCAAATCACAATTTTTGTAGAATTAACAAGATTAATACTTAGTAGTGTTCATGAAATATTTATATATAATCTACAAGAAAAGTATAACCGTTTAATTAATAAAAATCCAAAATATTGTTCGATTTTTTTTTTAAAACGAACCATACAAACTATAGCCGATCGATTATTTTTATTTTATTCCATTCGATTTTAATCAACAAACAAAAATTTGGTCCCCAAATGACCGATATACACAGGGTAGCTTATATCATTGGATCATATTCAATATAAAAAAATTATATTTGATATTAACGGCTTCATTAATACACAATGTAAAAAAAAAACTTTATAAAACGACAACTTAAAGCGAGATCTTTTATATAATAAAAATGTTAAATGCAATTAACTTTTGAATTGGACAGGCGGGACCCAAATAAATTACTGTCCAAGTGGAGGACACCTAATCGAAGGTTCTCGAACCACAAAATTACAGCCTAACGGCTAACACCTGTATTATTGCGGAAAAGATGCGGGGAATAAAAGAGAATTCTATTCTTTGACACGTGTCGCTGTGCTTTTGATTTAACTGTTACACGACCATGTGCGTATGTGGGTCCCACTACAGCCATATCTCGGCCGTTTTGCTCACGGAATCTCGTGAATTATTCGCCAAAATCTCGCTTCATTTATGCGTGCTTCCCACGCGCAAAATCTTACCGTCCGATAAGCGAGTGAGATTCACGCGCCTTCGCGTATAGAGCAATGGGTCTCTCACTCCGACCAAAATATCGGAGGGTAAGGTGGGAATTCGGTGAAACAACGCCGTTGGGCATGAACGAGAGAGAGAAGCTGCTGAGGACACAATGATTACGTGGCATTATGTTAGCCCTCGATTTTCAAGCCTGTGGGATGCATGGATGGACCAGCTGTAATGCTGAATTCCCAGGCTGGAAAATCCGGGCAGCTGCCCAAACCAACCGGGCAGTTCCTTAGCTGCCCGAGCTTTTTATATACAACTTCACCACAATTTCCTCTCATTCCGCTTTCTCCGTCTGCTGCTGAAAATATTCTCTGACGATCTGAGTGAACGAAGCCTCAATTCTCGGTTTCAATGAAAATGTCGATCTCCAAGGCGTCTTTCGTCCCTCTCATGGCGTTGTTCTTCGCCGTTGTGGCCGCCGTAGCGGCGGGGCAC